TAATGATGAATGTCGTACCACCTCCTTGATTAACCTACAGACAGTATTCAATTTTTTTTAGTTTCCCCAATAACTAAGCTAGATACAAAAATCACACAGAGGATAAAAAAGTTGTTATTCCAATAGTTCAATATAATGAGAATATGAAAAAAAAGGTGACGTACAATGACATTCACCATGAATATCGATAAATTTACCCACTGTGACGCCACTAGAAATATTATTTCGAATCTAATTTTACTAGAAGAAGCTCCATATTACTATGTATTAACAAAACTACAACGTTTTATTGAGATTGATTGAAAAGACAATTGAGAAATGAATAGAAATATTGATACCCTGTATCTCGAAGCAAGTTAGGACACACCATCCCTTGAATTTTTTCGGTGTCATTCAGATTTAGATATAGAAAATTGTGCATTGATTTGCTTACCACTCAACTGGATTCGTATTGCTCATTGGGTTCATAACAACTGAATATCCAAAATAGGATTTCATATTCTTGTTTTTCGTTGAGGCAGGATCAACGAATACCTTCGGAAAATTCGTGTCGATATTGAAACAACTAGCAGCTGCAGCGAAAATAAGAAGCGATACATATTTCTGCCACATTCTGAAAAAAACTAGGAAAATTGTGAATGATTCGAGGACAATAATTTAATCCCAATAAGTGTTCGCGTCAACTTACCACATCCTGAGGAAATCACTATGCTCTGTTATACAGGGTGAGCCACCAGTAACGAGTCAATCCATGTTCTTCCACCGATATTTTTGAAAAAGATGCATGCCAATAAGGGCTACAATCTTAAGACTCAAGAAATATGAATAAGTCTGTTGAATTACTATGTAAAATTTGCGTATTTTTATGCTGAATGTTATGGAAAGAATGTCGACCAGTCATTTCAGTTTTATAAAATATTGCCAATATCGATTTTGTATTTAGAAAACCAATCAAATCAGTTATTTCTAACTAACAATAAAGATATCGTCGAAACGAGAGCTTCGATTATTACCGGACGAGAGAATTTTCAAAATATTCTTGTTCGAGAAAAAATTTCATTTCCGGTTTTTAATTGAAGCTAGTGTGATATTCAGCTCAGTTCAAACCATTCTCTTGATTAACTTTATTCCACTTAAGCACACAATTGTCAATTAACCAACTGTAGTTACACAAAATTATAAAAAATGAGTACTTAGGTAGTAGCTCAATTTCCCAGTTATTCACATATTCATTTTACTAAAGTTTATGGTTGAATTCAGAATGAAAGAAACTATCAGTAACTGTGAAAAATAATCAGACCGTATTTGAAAAAAAGTTGATGATGGCTCTACGAATACGAAACGTCGCATAGAGAAATCAATATCACCACGTTAAATCTCGAAGTTGCTATGGAAAGATCTTTTTAGTTTTGGATTTTCGAACGCTGTTGGTATAACCCTCGGAATGCGCAACTTTTTTTAACCGAATTCGTATCTTCTTCCGTTTCCGAGATCCCCATGCTGTGCAACCTTCATCTTCGTCACACTATAATATATAATGATTCCTCTTCTTCAATCATTTTCCGAAACAAAGTGTCTGCCAATACATTTTTTTAGGCTCTCTATTAGTGAAATTTTAAATCATCTGATGTCGAAATAATTCTCATGTTTTTATACAAGGTGTTTCATAATATATGCGCAGGACTTCACCTTCTGAAATGCACCATTTTCGAGATACAGGGTGTGAAATCATACAAAAAAAAATATTTTTTTGCCATTATTTCTGGAAACGTTTATCGCACAGAAGAGACCTTTGGTAAACATTTTCTACTTATAATAGGCTATGTTTTGTGCGGAATTTTATTTCTTTGTTTAATCATAATTGTTGAAGATTTTGAAAGGGTAGTGGGTGTGTTTCTCCTTAACTTTTATATAGTTGCGAAAAATTATGTTTTTTTCTCAATTTCAACACCCTGTATCTAGAAAATGGTGCATTTCAGAGAGTAAGTCAATAGATACTTTCGTCCATATTTTTGAACGAGCTATCACATTCTGAAGTTCCTATATTATGGAACACCCTGTATATGTATTGAAACGACGATGAGAAAATCCAGGAGATCTGGAGAAATGGTATTAATCTATTCGTTTTGGCTAATGAAATCAACTAAATAGATACAGTGGCGATATTCTGAAAACTGCGAATGATAGAGGTTGACTTTCTTCTTTCATATTATCAAATCAGCCCAAAAATGCTGAACCAGACTTGATCCAGATGATTTAGTATCTCTTAAAATAACAGAAATCAACATTTTAAGGATGGAAAAATAGCACCCTATGTATGGAAATATTTTCAAAATCAGCCCTTACTGCATGCCAAACATTTCTAGAGATCGACGAGTGTAACATTGTCCACCCTGTATATGTGGTTTACCATCGGAACATATTATCATATATTTATGTTTCATTATAGATATATAATCATTTCTACCCAGATAATAGGAAGTAACACGAAAAAACACGAAAAAGCTGAATATACCTATGCTATACTGAGTGACCACAAACTCAGTAGGTTTTTTTTACTTTAGGTAAACCTTTGATATTAAACATTTTTTCACATTTCCTGTTCCACAGGAAATGATAACAATTCTGTTTTCGAATGAAACAGAATATATAACTTTTCAACTTCAGATTTGAGACTTATCATTTTCAAATTGAGTAAATCTTATTCAAATTGGGACCAAATAATGCAGCATGGCTTTAACGCATCAATATTGGTTATTAACAAATTCAAATTGATCATCTTCAAGATGGAAATAACCAACAATTTCCAATTGGGATCAAATGATTCAGAATTAATTTATACTACCAAATTGAAAATAAATAATTTCAAACTTAAACCAATCATTTTCAACTTAAACTCATATATTTTGTAGAAAATATTCCGAATGTCAAGATTATATGTTACGCTGATGATACTAACATCATTATATCAGGTGACAGCCAACAATCACTGATCTGTTCAACAGAAATAATATACGATAACATAATACGATGCTCAGAAAATAATAATTTCCTATTGAATCCCAAAAAAAACAGTGTTGACATATTTCGGGCACAGACGACAAGACCCACCTATAATATTTAAAGATACAGAAAAACAATTACTCTGTCCTGAAAACGTGAAACTACTAGGAGTTATTTTTGACTGGCAATTATCATGGACAGAGCATACCAACCAATTATGTAAGAAACTTCGAAGTGCCTGCTACAGCATCAAATACTTGAAAAATCATTGCAGCAAACACATTCTCATCACACTGTATTATGCCAATTTTCACTCCCACATGAGATATGGAATACTAAGTTGCGGAAACAGTGCTAATGTAAACAGAGTTTTTATTTTACAAAAATACGTGATACGCATTATTGAGAATATTGATAAGAGGACTAGCTGTAGAGAACTTTTCAAAAAACTAAAAATCCTGACATAATTTAGCGTATATATTCTGGAGGTGTGTATATATTTCTATAATAATTATAAAAACATTACAATGTGCTTGCCAAAACATGATCATAACACTCGTTACCGCAATATGTTACAGGCCAATTCTCACTGCTCCGCACTTTATCAAAAAAGTTTTTATTTTATGGGGTGCAAATTATACAATAAATCAAATCCGAATATAAAGTCACTAAAGTCAGCACCAAATGTCAGAATATTCAAAAATAGACTGAAAAAATTCTTAATTGAAAAGTGCTGCTACTCACTAGATGAATTTTGATAATTTTTATTGATGCATGTATGTGTATGTGTACTTATTCATACATAGTATAGTATTTTGTATTATTTATTTGTTTTCTCTGACATAATACGTACTAGACAAACTGTTTCGTTCAAAGTGTACTTCATTACATGGTTTTAGTCTTCCTTTTTCTGTGTTACTATGTAACAATTTTCATACTGTGAATTTTGGTATATGCTTTCTGTGTTTTTTGACATGTTTCTCCATTTATATTTCCTTGTGAATATGTAAAATGGTAAACGAATAAAGTATCTATCTATCTATCTATTGAATTCTAATGAGTTTTAATAACCGATGAAGTGGCTGTTTGATGAAGGTAAACATCGAAGTTTCAACGTTGTAAGTCCTACAGAAAATCATGTTTCTGGATCAACCAAAAATCAATTAAACTTAAGTTAAAGTTAAAGACTTTCACTTTTTTGAGAAATAAAAAACTCATTACTCACATCACCCTACACTTTTATTTAAAATCGTGGGGTCAGGGTTGGTAGAACTGATGAATATACTTCTATTTTCGTTTCAATGTAAGAATTGGTCATGATGATCCACATTGAGAGTATAAAAACGTGAGTTGGCTCAAGTCTTTCGATTACTTGAGATTTTCTATTTGTTCAGAAATTTTACATATTTTTTTTGAATATTTTCGACTATCCGGCAAAGTTTTGGGATGTTCGACTTTGACACTGACCTCACGTTTTAGTAGCACCAACTGGTGTTAGTGAAAATGTTAGCCCTCATTGTTGAATAGCTGTCAAAATATAACACATACAAATTAGTTGGGGTCGTCAACTTCTTGAAAATGTCAAGATCTTGTCTTGATCTCAAGAAGACTAGAAGTAATTTTAGATTCAAGACATCAAGATTTAGTAAATCACATAGACTCATAATATCTTGGGTGATATTTGGGCATGCTCTGTAAATAAATTTTCTGGCGCCACTGATTATAAATTCGAATGCGTCTTTTCACAGGAAAAATGTAATTTTATGTATAGTGACATTTTTCTACCTGTCAACATAGATAACATGTCAAACTTTTTTCCCTTCAAAGAAAAATACATATTTTTTTGACGTCAGGTTCATTTCATTATCCTGAAATTTGTATAGCATAAAATAAATCTACTGAAATCTAATGAATTTCTGTCAAGGTATATCTACTGATGAAATAAAAATCGACGTGCAACCCTGGTACGCAACGCAATAAGAAGGAATCACCATGTACGGTGTCACCGGTCAATCAAGAAATTTCAAGACCTTGAAATTTCTTGAGTCAAGACAAGAAATGATATGTCAAGAAAAACGTCGAGACAAGATTGTTCGAAACTTCTTGACTTTTTCTGAAGGCAAGACAAGAAGTTGTTATCAAGACAAGAATTCTTGTCTTGGCGACCCCTACAAATTAGACAGGAAGGTAATTTTTGAAGCTACTTAATTGCCTATCTGATGGAAAACAACAACAAGACTGCATAAATTAATTTATTCATCCTATTCATCAATATCTTCGATATCATCATAGATATCTTTACTTTGTGCCGGTACATACTCAGGCATCTGCATGAACTTCGTCACAAAATAATCTCGTACACAAATAGGACTCCATTTGAACAAGACGTGATAAATTCGATAACGAAGAGATTCATTTTTATAAACTACATTAGGATATTTATCAAGAAGGGCATTTTCAAACTGTACATACAAACTTTCGTCTTCGATTTTGACAGGCGTGGGGGGAGGGGTTATAAAGGACAAGTACACATTATATCGCTTAAAATAGTCACTATAGAAGTTATGCTGTTCAGGTGTGAATGAGTCGTGCATTTCCTGGACATTTTGCAGTTGTCTGGCCATTATGTTGCTTTGGAGGGTGAAAGAGCCAGGGATGAAGGTCAGGACGCTCACTCCATATTTTGACATTTCGATTCTCAGTCCGTCGCTCCAAGCTGTTAGAGCAGCTTTTGTCGCTCCATACACGGCGAGCCCAGGTAGTGTGGTTTGAGAACAATGACTAGTTATTGTTAAGAGTCTTCCTAAAGAATGGAAAATAAACATTTTTCTGCCACCGACACAAAAGTGGTCCATTTTAATACCAAAATTAGCTCTTGAATTGACGTTTCTATTACTGACACAAACATAAAGGTGTGTTGCTAGGCAACACTTTCAGTTCCTAGGATGTAAAGTTGAACTTTTTAGCTCCTATGAACTAAAAAGGATGTACTAGGTCATCAAGAATAATTGTAGGTTGTATAATTAGGATCAGAAGTGACACTATGTTTGACAACCGAATTTTGCATTTGTGAGGCAGAGCGTCTAGCGATGCCGAGCGAAAGCAAAATTTGCTAGTCAAAGTCACTTTGGATCCGAATCAAACATGCTATAATAAATATGTGAAGTTACCACCAAGCTATACAGAGAAGTGCACAAAAACGGCCAAGACTGTAACTTTCGAATTATTCGAGATAGGGTTTTGAAAATTGGTGGGCAGCTAGTATACCAAATTGCTCATTAATGGACAAAACAATTTTTGTTTTATCACTTCCGGTTTTACTCGATACGAACCCAACTTTTGATTTTTCAAAGAGACCCTGTATTGTATTCCATAATCGGTTAGGGATTGTCATTACGAATTCATCGATACCGGGTTTGATAGGGTTATTTCAAACGATTGCGTAGATATTCGCGTTCTAAGTGCTCAATGAGTGTGACAGAGAAAGACGTTTTGATATTGCGAAGTCACACCCATTGAGCATATGGAAACTTCGAACGCAAATATCTTTGTAATCGTTTGAAATAACCCTATCAAACCCGGTATCGTTGAATTTGTCATGATAATCCCTAACCGATTATGGAATACAATACAGGGTGTCCCATTTAAATCAAAAGTTGGGGTCGTTTTCGGTGAAACTGGAAGTGATAGAAGAAAAATTGTTCCATCAATTAATTATACTTGCTACCCAGCAGTTTTCACAACCCTATACAGTGTGTCCCACTTACCATGCTCACCATGGGTATCTTTTTAACGGTGAGAGATACGAGTTCGGTTAAGTGACACCAAATATGGAGTTTGTCAAGGCCAACTATAATGTGAAAAAATATTTTGATAAAATCTATACGTTTTTGTTTTATACGCAAAAAACAGATTTTCATCATTTTCATGTCTCCTCCGTAACTTCTTTATTTATGAAAATATTCAAATAGGAATGTCACATTCTCATGGCAGTTTTTCAAAGTGATTTCGAAAAAAATATGAAATTTATACCAACTCTTCTAGAATTTTAGATAGCAGCACCAACTTTAGTTTTTCAAATGTTGGTCATAGCTCACTATGACTTAGTTACAAATAACTTTTTTTCTCTTACAGATGATATGTCGCAGGAATAGTTTTGTTTTGATAACAACGCAGTTATCGTCATTAATGCAAAAACAAAAAAATATTCGGAAGCCGCCATCTTGAATTTATAAATTTTAACAAAAAACTCATGATCTCCGACCTCAAAAACCCCCACTCACCAATTTTGAATAGAATCGGACGGAATCGGACCAAATCTTGTCCGCCATATAATATAATATAATCTCCAAAAATTCAAAAAAAAATCCAATACCTACCTCCTGTCCCTATCCTCCCTAGGAACGCACGATGTTCTTTGAACATTATAGGGATTCCCTTTCGTGCGCTCCAATCGATAAAAAAAAATTTAAAAAAATGGCTGTTCCAAGATAGCGGACAAGATTTGGTCCGATTCCATTCGAAATTGGTAAGTGGGGGTTTTTGAGATCGAAGATCATGATTTTTGGGGTGGGTCACACTATATAGAATAATTCAAAAGTTACAATCCTGGCTGTTTTTCGTGCACTTCTCTGTATGTATGCAATGCAACAAATAATCCGTAGTTTCGATATAAATACAACCACAGAGTGACCCATCTGTGTATGGACCAGGTGTCAGTTCTAATAGCAAATAACGGGCCAGTGCCAGGTATAGGAAAAATACGTGAAAAATGTTAGTACTACATACTAGTCCAAACTCCAATTCATTTGACTCGGTAATCAAATGAAGGTAAACAATATCGTTGTGTGAGACAAAAAAGTATTGCTGGCCATGATTATTCAAAAACAACTCATCCATCCCGAGAATAACGAATGAAATACAGATCTAGCAAGTATCTGAATCTTGAAGGCTTTCCTGATCAAAACAAAAATACTCAACTATAATATCATGTATTTATATCTCCAGCATGGGTATGAAATCCAAATCTGCCGAAATCGGAAACAAATCAGGTATGCCTCCCAACCCAAATAACCTACCATTACAATGTTGTTTATTCTTGATGACCTAGACCAGTACATCCTTTTTAGTTCCTAGGAGAAAAAGTTCAACTTTAGCACCTAGGAACTAAGTGTTGCCTAGCAACATAACTATGTTTTTGTCAGTAATAGGAACGTCAATTCGAGACCTAATTTTGGTATTAAAATGGACGTCTACGTCTGACAGATAATTTAGCGCAGAATTATATACAGAGTGACCCAGAGTGATTTCACGAAATTTTCTTCGAAATGTAGAGGGGGGAAAGTGTAAACTAAAGCCTACAAGTTTCTTGATAACAATGAATCTGCAGCGTGTGTCATTTCAAGCGCCCCCTCCTCTATACCGGGTGTCCCAAGTTATCGTATATAGGCAATATGTCGCTTACTTGACCTTGATAGTTGAAAAATTCAAAAACTTCATTGATTGACATTGAATTAGCTTCCTAATGACATATAAAAAAAAAAACATTATATTTGACAGTTCTCTGGCAGCTACCCCCCACATTCTATTTCCAAATGGCATCCCCTGTATATTGTTATTGGAAATTACGTGCCACTCAATTTGGAATACAACGATAGCGTATATTGGTATTTTTTTATTGATAACAAAAATATCAACATTTTGTGACTTGTTTCAAGTTAATCAATTATCCTTATGAAAATTATCAATTTCAGAGGATTTTGATTTTTCATGCTCTCTTTTTGGATATTCAACAGATATAATTCAATGTTCGACGTGGAAAATAGCCAGGAACGTAGTTGTTTTCTGTTGAATATTCCGAATGATAGGCATATCTTTATATGAAGGAGAATGCAAATTCTCTACTTCAGAAAATTTTGTTTTCGAATTCTTATCTTGTGTGTTCAATAGATGCAATTCGATATTCTTCGTGGCATATAGCCAGAAAAGTTGTTGTTTTCTGTTGAATAAACCGAGAAAGAATCAATATTTTCATCACATGGAGAATTCTAATTCTCAATGTATTTCTTTATATAAATATCCATTTTTTTGTGTTCATGAATATATCTGAGAATATTCCTTTTGAAATAAATATAAGTGAAGTAATCACCAATGTGACTCACTTGACAGATTATTATAATAATATGGATAAGTAGATAAAAACAAGGCTTCAGACAATGATGGAAGTAAGATATGGTGTAATCACTGATGCGCTTTTGTTTCCGAAATTTTACTATAACTGTTTCACAAACACTTTACAGTGAGAGCAGAGCAAAGTGATTAATTAAAAAAATCATTGTGGAGGCATTTACAGATCTCGTTTATTCAATTTTCAAGGATGTTCGCATTGTGGTTTCAATATAAAAATTACAAATTGACTATGTAATAATTACAATTATTGTGTTTGAGTTTCTTGTTTAATATAATGAATACTCTATGTTGTTTATTCTTGATGACCTAGTACCGAAGGGGTTGCCACGTGGCAAATTCTCGTACGTTCAAGAGGAAATACGGGGCAATACGAGGAAATATGAGGCTATGTGAGGAGAAATATCTGGAAATACAAGGCAATACCAATAATTTCGGGTTAATTTCGAATTTCATTGTTTCTATCGACTCGATTGCAAACGTATAGGGCTGGGAATTCAGATTGATGAATTAAAAAACATTTTATGAAAAATCTAGAGAAAATTATGTGTTGGTAGGTATGTTCAAACTTGTTGAATCCTTCATCGATATTTCAATTATTGATTTATGTTTTTTATGGATAACTTTAATTCCAATATACGTTGTCTCGTACGGTGCTTTCGTAAAATACTGAATACATTCATTTACAGCCAAATTATTAATTGCTGAGGAATTTTCAAAACAGTTCGATTTTTTATCTCAATTTCCCGCATTCATAAGAGAAAATTAAATATAACGTTAATTCACGTTTGAGTTATGATGTCCGCGACAATTTTATCAAATGGAACACCCCATACAGTGTCATTCATAAAGTCGGCATCATATGGGAAATATTTTTAATGATAATTCATCACGAAATTCGAGTTGGGCGTTGAGTTTTGCTTGAAAAAATATGAAAAATAGACAACTCGGTCGGGGTCTCGTGACTTTCGCCGCATGTCAAGTTATATTTTTCCATTAATCGCTGAAAATAGGCTTATTTGTTTGAATTTCAAGAAAGTTCACTGAAAAAAGTTTTTCCAATTTTAATCTTACATAATTATGTTTCGAATTTGAACGTACAGGGTGATTCATCATAAATGTCCCCCCCTCTAGCTCACCTATTTTTGAACCGATTTGAAAATTTGAAAAATAATCAGAATTGATTTTTCAGAAATTTTTTTCTCATTGCATCAGAAAATACAGGGTGCTCGGAACAAACGATCTACAAAGTACTACTTGATTTTTTCAATTGTAACACCCTTTATTTCATTGTATTTTTAGATCCTTCCTGAAGAGCTGATTTCATCAATGCATCACACTTGAGGTATAGCAGGAATGATTAGAGAGATATAGGGTGTTCAAAATCGATATTTTTCAACATTAGGATTTTTTTACGTTGAAACTATTTATTATTGGTCAAAACGGCTTTTATGTCTCCATCTCAACTTTTGATTCACTATCTACTGACATTAAATTGGAACATTTACAGGGTGGTTCAAGATTCAAAATTCTGATCACCCTTTATCTGTTCTAATCATTGAATGTCAGTAGATAAATAAATGTAGTAAATCTACAGCTAAGATACGGACATGAGAG